GATGGATGGATGGATGGATGATGTATGTGTGAATGGATGGATGGATGATGGATGATGGATGGATGGATAGATGGATGATGGATGGATGGATGGGTGGATGGATGGATGGATGGATGGATGGATGGATGGATGATTGTATGTATGTATGGATGGATGGATGATGGATGGATGGATGGATGGATGGATGGATGGATGGATCATGTATCAGTCAGGTTAATCCCTAACCTTTGGTTGTGAAATGTTCATCAGTGTCTCCATCAGTAAACATGATCACAGCTCCTGACTGCAGTTATTTGTAGAGAACTATAAGAAGTGGTTACGTTGGTTAACCTTTGACCAGAWGTAAATTTTGTGTTTCTCATTGTGCAAAGTGTCTTTTTAGCTCCTGTTAATGTTTGATGATTTTCTAAAAATCTGCATCTTATTTTGCTTCCTTTTAAAAACACCGTACAACTTTTCCAGAAACAGGATTTTTGGTGTGACAGCCAAAGTTGTGGAACATTTGTAGTAAAATCCTTTCAAATGTTCTGATTGGTTGAAAAGTGAAGAAAGTTAAAATGACCRTTTTCCAGCTGATTCCTCGTTTACCTCCACTTCAAGAACTTGTTGTACCACCTCCACAGCAGCCTCCTTAAGTTCAACCTTATCAATCTAAACAAATGCAAATGAAGTGGAACACGTAAGCAGAGCTGAAAGGTCTACTGTACTCCCTACAGAAAGAACAAATCCACACGAGAGATGTTATTTTTATTTACCTGCACTTCTACAACAGGCTTTGAGACGTCTACTGATGTTTCCTGCAGAATAAAACTGGTTTATATTCTGAACACATGTAGATAACAATAAAACACACTGATTGTTTATCATTCAGCTCCTTTATGGATGCAGAGTTACACCAATAAATATGTATGCTGTTAGCTTAAAACATCTAAGAAGGTTAAATGGAGTCTCTGAATTACCTGGATGTCTACACCTGGTTGTATCTCTACTTCATTWGTTGGCTGTGGAGAATCCTTGATTGTCTGTGGGCAGTGAAGGAATTCTTATTTTAAAAGGGGGTATTATATTTCCATATTCTTCAATTCTTTATCATAGTCTATCTAAACACCTTGAAATTAGCTTCTGTCTCATTAAGACCTCCTACTATTTCTAACACTCCCACTTCAGCACATCTTCACAACAATGCTTTTTGGGGTGCGRTGTTTCTGGTMCAGCTCCAGGGAGGAGCTTTACGTAAATAGGCAGAGCTTTGTAGCAGCAAGTGTTTAGGCAGCTCCACATGACYACCACAGGAGATTCAAGGATTTCTCAAACATGAATGAGTCAAAGCAACACTCTGAGTGTGTTTTTGATTGGGCATGACATTATAAAATCATATAAAAATCTTAAAAGTAGATTTTGCATAATATCCCCACTGTAGGATAAAACCACAGGTCAGAAGAAATGTCCACGGCTTCTTTAAACTATGAAAAACTGGTGTTATAACAGGCTTGAATTGTTAGCTTGTGAATGTCATGAACTAATTAAAGATTAGACAGATTAGATTTAGATGAAGCACAGTACGACTTGTCAACAATACACCAAATTTCAACAAAAATCAGAAAGATATTGGGATGCATTTATGTCACAAAAACTACAATTTTAAAAGTATTACCACTGAAAAATGTCAGATGACATTTTGGGAAAACTTACAATAACTAAAAAATATAATTAAAAGTTCCTGTGACAGTCAAACAGTTATTACATTATGAGATAAAAAAGAATAAGTACAGACCCTCATCACATGTCAGAGGGGAGTGGCTCCTCAGGCTTGAACACAAACAGTAATTCAATGTACCGTATAATGGGGTCAAACAGCCAATGGTACAGTTGTATCGTGTCCTGCACTAAGTCAGCCTACAGCTGTTGTAASCCGCTCGTGACATCTGGCAGTTTGGCACAGTGTCAACGCTGACTTGAAATGTTTGATTGAGGAAAGACAGGCAAGCCTGCTGGCCATGGGGAGACCTCAAAATGACACAGGACAGCCAAAGACACATGTTGTGTTTGGTTTGTCTGGTTGAAACACTACCAGGGTGCTGTCTCAGGTGGAGTAAAAAAAGGAAAAAAAAAACACGTTGTGTCATCAGAATTCCCCAAAATCACTACCAGAGGTGACCTGAAGTTATACCCTATTGTTCCCCACAACTCCACCATAATGACTGGACTGGTCCTCCTTCTTGGGCAACACTATACAACACACACTGGTCCTGGTCATCCTTGATAATGCAGAACACAGATTCATTCCTGAACATGATGCTATGCCACTCATCATCAGTCCATGCCTCCTGGTTTCAGTACTCCAAATGCAGCTGTCTCTGCTCTGGTATTTATRTCAGCCCACTCATKGGCTGGTRAAGGTAGTCCGGCTGATGTCACTCATAGAGACACAGTGAGGGAAGACACAAAGACGTATAGAGTTCWATAACTGAATCAACAAGGTGGGTGCAGATGTCAAAGGCTTCTGTAAAGCTTATTGTCAAATACAATCACCATCCACTGGTGTTTTCTGTATTGTATGACAGGAACCTTCATGATTTTGATTCATGAACGAAGATATGCGTGGGTGGTAGACATGATCCTTCCCCTCCCTACCTACCTACCCCCATCCTTTATCGTGTGTCTGTCCCCAGACGAGGCCACGGAGTCGGAATAGAGAACTGAACTCTATMCAGAGATCTGGACTCTGGGAAACTGCATTCTAGGGATAACATCAGTTGGACTATGGAGGTCTCTGTATGGGGCAGGCACTTGCCCTTGACGTCACCGGTTCCACCACAATCCCTTCCCCCGTCCATATTTGTTATCCTGTAACACCCCCCTGCATCCCCTCCCTGCTTAGCTGCCTCTGCTTCTATCTGGAGTAGTTTTTTTTCTCAAACAATGCTCGTGTGCTTACGTTTGCTAAACACAAGATCAAAATTCTTTTTTTTTTTTAACTCATCCTTCCTACGTGTGTGTGTATTCCAAACTGCAAGGCAGCACACGTCGTTGCGCAGGGCCCTGGACATTCATTCCCCTGTGTCTGTCATGTGTATGTGTTTCTCCGGACGGATGTTCAAAACTGCAAATTTCGTTCTGCATCACATCTTGATGTTGTGTTTGAATGACAATAAACGATTCTTGATCTTGATTTGTTTAGATGCCCTCACATATGCAGCTATGGGTTAGGCAGCTGTATGGTACACTTA